GCAGATTCAATATTCATGACGCTTTTTCTCTTCATCAGGATTCATTTATTCAATTCATTATGCAGAGTCACGATTGTGTTTTTGATTTGTTCTTTGTTAATGTGTGTGTGCAGGAGAACAACACGAGGGGGTCCTGAGTGAGGAGAAAGAGGAATCTCCGGTGAGGCACAAGAGGAAAGCACCCAATGCATGCATCTGAGTCCGATGAACCTTTGCTTGTTTTTGTTTGTTTGATGTGGGGGGTGTCAGAGAAGCTGATCTTCAAAAGACGTGATAAACCTAATTTCTCAATGAAAAAGTGAGTTTCAGGATCCTCAACTACAATTTTCCCGATTCAAGTGCTAAAAAATGAAAGATAAAAAGAAAAAGAGAGGCGTAGAAGGAAAAAAAAAAATAGAAGAACTATACTATTATATGATGAGAGTAACATAGTATTGTTACTGTTATAAAAGAAATTGCGGCAAAACGTAAGATAGAAAAACAAAAGAAAAACACGAGCACTGATATTGTGGTTCTACTAGCTGCTGGAGACTTGGCACAGCTCTGGTGATGCTTATTGATCTGCACTGATGCAAATGAATTGGACAAAATTTTATAGAAGGAATGTGTTTTTTGCTTGTTGGTTGTTTTTTTTTTTTTTTTGGGGCAAAGTGTTGTTGGCTGTTGAAGGGGTTGAGGAAGTTGAAGATGGAAACAATGGTAAGGGGCTTCTGTAGATCTCTTGCTTTCTCTTTATAGGCCAAAGGCTTTTTTCTTGGCCCCATATTTCTTTAGCGTCAACCTTTTTCAGATCACTTGTAGTTTTCTTTCAAACTTCTTTCATTTTCTTCCCACTTGTCAGGAGTGCTTCGGTTACCCTTCTTTGAAAGCAGCATCCTTCCTTCTACAAGCATGAATTGGACTGGGGCGGAATAGAAATTACAATTCAAACATGATGATGGTCAGAAAGATGATATGTTACCCCTCCGTTTATTTTATATATATATATATATATATATAACTGTATTACATAATTGAAAAAAATTATTAATCATAATAATTATATCTAAAAAAAATTGAACTAAAATGCTTGTGAACACCCCTATTTTGTCCAGACTTTTAAATATAAAATTAAAAAAAAAAAAAGCCCAATAAAAAGAGTAATTAAATGAACAAAATAATAAGAAAAAAATCGGATTTTATAAAAAAATAAAAATAATATCTTCATTTTAAAAGAAAAATTCTTTTTTCTTGACTCCCAAATCCCCTCAATTTTGTTTCTATTAAATTAAATATCGTTAATGAAAATTTGAAAATTTAAAATAATAGAGAAAAGTCAAAATAGAATGTTTCCTTGATATGCATGATTCTACATTAAAAAGAAAAACCTTAATTGGTGTTTATAAAGAAAGAGAAAGAGGCCCACAAGGTAAGGGGATAGAGACGGAGAAGTATTTGGTAAGAGACAGACTATATCAGTGAAGTTTTGAAAAATAAGTGACTCATTCATCCCTTGACATTAGGTGTGGTTTGATGATGTACTCATGGGTTCGTTGCCATTCTCGTTCTCATTGTGCATAGTATTATGTAAATGGGCTACGAGTCAACTCGCAAGTGAGCTGGCATTTTGACTTTTTCCATTTTTTATTTTAATATAAACTAAAATGTGTGCGTTTTGTTTTTAACTTCATTAAAATACAATAAATTTACAAGCTGTCCTCAAATTACTCCCTCACTCATAGACACCTAGTCAAGTAAAAAATAATAATATAATGTAGTTTCTCGATCTTCTCAAAATACTTAATCTACCTCATTCTTATTATTCTAATTATTATTGCAAGTATTTAGACAATAATTATTCCTTGAGTCTGAATCTGTACGTGTTCTCAGCTAGTTAACTAGGATTATTTTTATTATATAAAATATGCTCAACAATTCTTTTTGACCCTTTCACTTATTAACCTTAATTAAGACTTAGGCAGTTAGTTATATCTATACACATATTTGCTTGATCTTGATTATTTTTATATTTCACACTTAGGGTTCATGCAAATCTGGAGTCAATAAATTCAGCAGCTAGCTTTGAATCATGTTCATAATAATTAATCAAATGAAAATAATTAATTCAACTTACATATAGAATTGACATGATCAAATGGTCCAAAAATACAAAGTTAAGAAGCTCAATCCATACCAAAGCAGTCTCATGCCTTGACATTTTTTAATAAAAAAAAGCAGGCTAGCAGGCCAGCCCTTTTAGCCTGCATACTTTCATGGTTCGGGCCCAACCAACTCATTTTTAAAACGGGCTCATTTTGCCAACTCATGCTCGCAAAAAATTGTGGGCTAAGTCCATTTGCCCGGCTCTAGTTGTGCATGATAGCAATATGAGGTTTGTGTTTTAGACTTTATGTAATTGTTTACCATTCAAGTTGCTACTACTAGTGATTGGCATAGTGAATTTTATGTTGATATAGTATAAATGCCTCATGACTCTTATATGCTAATTCTCAATGTGATCCTCTCGTTTATTTCAAAATGATTATGTCTTGTCCACATCCTCAAATTCCACATCCCTTTATTTATTTTGTTCATTAATATGGTTGATATGCGTCTTGTGTTCTAGCAAATGTGTGCAATGAATGGATAATCATGGTTATTAATTTTGCGTGAGATGATGGCGTCGAATCTTAGGCTTTGAATTGACACCACTAGTTTTATTTTATTCATTGAAATTGCTTGCATTTTTTTTTTTAAAGGAGGTCTTGATAGAAAAATATTTCTATAGCCTTTTCATAACTTTAAAAAAAGAAAAAAAAAAAGAAATTTACAAGTGATATTAAATCACCTTAAATATTTAAAATAAGTGATACTCAAGTGTTAAATTTTAAAAAATATTAAAATTTATTAGTATGTTTTTTAAGATCCACGAGTGATACTAAATCACTATAAATTAATAGAAATGCATTTTTTTTAAAAAGGAGGTCTTGATAGAAAAATATTTCTATAGCCTTTTCATAACTTTAAAAAAAGAAAAAAAGAAAAAAAAATTTACAAGTGATATTAAATCACCTTAAATATTTAAAAATAAGTGATACTCAAGTGTTAAATTTTAAAAAATATTAAAATTTATTGGTATATTTTTTAAGATCCAAGAGTGATACTAAATCACTATAGATTAATAGAAATAAGATATCATGAGTAACACTAAGTCTCATCGTAGGTATCAATTTTTACACTAAAAAGTTCATAATTAAATTATTTTATAGGAATTTCATTTTAAAAATTTCTTTAGAGTTTGTCATGAGTGATATTAAATCACTATGTGCACTTAAAGTGTCAACCAGTGAACTGTGAGTGATACTAAATCATCGCAAGTTTCAATACTGGTTAAATTTTCCTCTCTTGTGTATTATTAAAAATAATAAAATTTATCATTTTTAGATTATACTATGAGTGATACTAGATCACTGGGGATCCTTTAAAATATCAAATAAGATACTGTGAACGGAACTAAGTCATTACAGGCAAAAATAATAATAAAATTATTAAAAAAATTTTTAGGATATGACATGAGTGATGCTATAGTTACCATGAATTCTTAAAAATTTTAAATGAGACTGTGAATGATATTAAGTTATCACAAGTATCAAATTTTATATGAAAATTTTATAATTAAATTATTTTATAGAAAAATTTTTTTAAGATTTGTCATGAGTGATACTAAATTACCATGCACACTTAGAGTATCAACTAGCGAATTATAAGCAATACTAAATCACCACAAGTTTTAATACTAGTTATTTTCCTTTTAATTAAAGGTTCTTCCTTATGACAATTTTTTATTTGAAAATAAATATAATTATATAACACAAAATAACATTCTCTTCATAAAATAAATTAATAAAAAATTAAAAAAACCTAAATAATAATATTTCAAACCACATGGACTTTATTCCACATCATAGAATATGTAGGTCCTAAATTTTGATCATAGGTCAAGTCCTCTCATATAAATAAATAATTTATTTTCTTTTATCTTTTTAATTTTCAATTTTGCATGTGACTAAATGGTAATTAAGATATTATTAAAAGAATAATTGATTTCACACAATTAATTTAAGATAACCATTCTTATGAACGGATGTCGTGGGGTACCTAATACTTTTCTTACATACAATTGATTACTGAACCCTTTTCACACATTATCTTTTTTATTATATAGTTTTTCAAGATTTCTTAAAAGCTTTAGTGGCAACTCCCATTTTTTTTTACATTTATTAACCTTTCCTCATCAAGGAAGGGCACAATTTGGGGCAACAATGTCCTATGTTAATCAACATAAGTTTACATTAATTATTTCTCATTAATATAAATTATGAGCATGATTTAAAAAATATATAATAAATGCTTATTAAAATATGTTATTTTGCTCAGATAAAAAAATAAGTAAAAAATGTCTTACAAATAAAAATGCAGAGCTAAATTCAGTTGAAAGGAACTGGTCGAGCCTCAATGAAAGATTGTTTTAGTTATTTCACACGAAACGTTGTAATTCATTGACCAATAGGTGTATAATAGAAAAGTTCTTTCATTTTGCTTATTTTTTAGCTTCACTGTTTACTGCTATAATTTCAACTAAGCCACTGTTTTAATATACAAAACAACAAGAATCCTCGAGGGTATCTGAAAATTTGACTCCTGTACCTTGGTTGTCTCCTTCGCTTGTTGACAAATTGTGTTCGTAGGCACATGGCACCCAATGGCAAAGACATTTAACAATGGGAACGCGGAAAAGTAAATACAAGGAACAAGAAGATAAAAACAAACGTGTTTGCCCTCAAGTCCTGCACAGATCAGGGGTCTATCCCTTTTTTTTTTTAATTTTTTTGGAACATTATCTTCTATACTTTTAATCTCCTGCAGAGAAGCCTCTTGCTGTTACATGTGTTTGTCACTGCTCCGAAGCAACCTGTTTGTAGGGTTCCTCTTCAGCCTTATTGTCATCTTTCACAGCAGCATCATAACGGATAGCTTACAGTGGTGAGCACCCAATTCACTATCAACTGTGTCATGAAGGACACGTTCCTCGTATCAACTTGCCAAGCCACTGCTGCTCCTGCACTTTGAATCCCTTTATAGAATCCAGCGTACCTGCAAGAGATAAAATAGTAAAAAGACATGCCTGTAGATTTTATAATTGGCTAATAAGAATTGATTTGATTGGATGGATGAATGGATTACCTGCTAAGGATCTCAGAATCGTCAGCCAGGGCACCAATGAGCCAATAGACCATGCTCTGGAACATGGCATCTAGCAATCCAAAGCAGAAGTACAAGACAAAGGGTCCAGCGAAAGCAGAACCTGAGTCCTTAAAATCCAATTTATCAGGCAAATTATTCTTGGAGTACCTGAGTTGATTGGCCAGACCACCACCCCATATAGCAGAAGAAAGGACAGCAACAACACCAATCCCCACAAATCCCCTTATTCTTCTGCTCTTAAAACTGAAATCCATCAAATACCCAATTCCCACCGACCCCAACATCTGAGCAGCCCAGTAGACCACACTGTTCAACCCTCTTGTTCTCAAATTAAAAAGAACTCCATTGACGTTATTGAACTGGTAAGTGTAGAAGAAATTGCTGCTCCAAGCAGCAGGAACTATGAGAAGCATCTTCCAATTCAAGAACAGCTTCAGAATTTCCAGAGCCTCAGTGGAGACATTAGAGTACAAGATCTTTGTACACTTGGTCCCATCATCACGAACAACCTTATGGGGGGGCAAGATTGTTAGAGACAAAACCGTTCCAGCGGACATGAAGCACATGAATCCTATATAGGTTGCATCATTAACAGAAGCAGCCTCGCTACGACGGTAATTCAAAATGAAAGGGATAAGCCCGCCAATCACACCCCCCATATTGAAGATACTCCAGAATAGGGAAATATAAGTCCCTTTGCGATTGACCGGAGGGTAGGAAGTCATGATAGCACCCTGCGCCGCCCACAGGAGGCCAGCGCCGATGCCGAGTATGGCGCCGGCGACGATGGCGAAGGCTTGGTGGTGGTAGTGGTTGTAGTAGAGGAACGAACCGGCGTAGATGACATAGGTAGAGCAGCCTGCGAATAGGGTTAGGTGGGGTCCGAGGATGTTGTAGATGCCACCGCCGAGGACGCCAAAAATGGCGAAGGAGGTGTAAAGAGCAGTGTTGGCGTTGTTAGCTGCAGTGGGGTCCACCTGACCACCGCCACCCATGCCGGAGAGTGCATTGAACATGCCAGGGCAACAAAAGCAGACTACCCCAATAAGGACAACTTGAACCAGCGGTGAATTGTACCTAAAAAGGGAAGAACTTTTGCGTTCTCAGGAAGCTGGGTTCCAGATTCTTCGTCTCCAGTGATACCCATCCCCCGCAATACCAAAAAGGATTGATTTTGGTGTTCTGGGTATATGAAATCTGAGGTTCTCTGTGTGTGGGTGAGCCCGTCTCAGAGAGTGAAAGATGGAGATCGAGAAATTTACGGATAATTAGTGAATGAGGATGGAGGAATTAAAGGACGAGGCTAGAGGGGAGGCCTATCGAGACAAAAAGAATGTTACAATTTACGATAGGTCTGTTTTACGGGCTCTGTCTTCTGTCAATCAAATTCAGAAAAATCAGCAAGTGCCGGACGCTTACGCAAACCTCTTCGTCGAATCGTGCAGCTCGAAGAGCTATACGACTAAGGGGTATGGTTTGAGAGGTGAAAATATTCTGTAAAATTCAAACTATTTGGTTCATCCAATTGAATATGTTTCTGGGTTTGAACGTTGTGGTTATCTACCCGATCGGCTCTCCTCCTGACGCAAAAGGTCAACTGAATCCATCAATAAAGTAACATAACTCGTCTCGACCGGGCCCACATGCTTTGATGTGCGTAATGCATTACTGCAGAGCTTTTCAAATTTACAGGACGGTGACTTCCAGCGTCTCAAACAGGATTAGGATTGCTTCCTGTATGAAGATATAGGACGGTGACTTTCAGTATGTGTTGAACCAAAAAAATTTACAAGACGTGAGCAGTAATTGACAGCCGATTTGTTTAAAATTAAAAAATATGCTGATTTTAGATAATTTAAATATATAACAAGAAATTTATTTTTGTTGAGATTTTATAAAAATTGGATATTATTTTCTATTTGATTATAATAATACAAATGATTATTATTTAATTATTTTTAGATTTTATGATATTTTCGTAATCTTTATTTCTAAGAAATGATTTATGATTAGTTATTTTAAAATTTTATAACATCTTCATATATCTTTCTATCTTTATGATATTTTCTTATATTTATTTATATTTGAGATTCTGAAATTTACATTTGAGTTTATTGTTAATGAACTATTTTTTTCCCTATTGTTAGGTGGTCTTTTATTTTTTTTTTCCCCGTGGTCCTTACCCCATCATTTTCACTACGCCATGATCTTTTTATTTTGAATTATTTTCGTCAATAGTCCTTCCGTCACTCTTGCTATTTTTTTTTTCCCGTCTAAAACTAGTCCAGAGTTGAACCCTGCACTGAGACTGGTTAAAAAAAAAAAAAAAACTACCATGGAATCAGTCATGTCGTTTTGTTTGGGTTAAGTAACCATTAAATTCAATCATTAACTATTATCACTATGATTCCTCAGCAGTTTTCAAGCTTCAAACACATTTTGAAGTCTATTTTTCATTTGTTTGTGGGGCCATAAAAACACTTTCCTGGAGTCATTCCAAAATTATTCTAATCAACAAAGTGAAGACTCGTCTTATTCTCGTTTTGCTTTTCTTTTGTCAACTAATGCAGTGTATACGTGTGATAAAGCCGTCTCTGGCCGGCTGGGAACTAATTCTAATTTCAAATGCTTCAGCGAACTAACTAACGTTCATTTTACGGAACAAAATATACATACGAATCTGATAATGAAGGTAGGCCCAATAAATTTCTAGTTATCTAACACGGTCTGTATTTTTTTTTTTTATTGAGTTCTGGCAAGTTTTGCAATATCCACTAGTTTGACAAAAATGTCATGCGGTGGTTGTATGAGGAGATGCATATTGTTTGATTTTATGATCAAGACATTAATTACATATGATGATTATTATTGTACGACTTTAGAAATCTCTCCCTCTCCCTCTCCCGATTCTTTTGTTTGAATATGTATAAAGATAGCTTTAAAAAAAAATAAAGAATATATATATAGAGCTAGTTCCGAGTTCCCATGAGGAGTTTAAAACATCAGCCGTTTAATTTATCCACGAATCATCAATGTCAATGGGATTGCTTATTGTAATTTTTATATTAATAAATTTGCAACTATTCATCATATGAGATCACAGTAATTAACAAGTCTATCATATAAATAATTAAATATGTTGCCTGAATGAAGTTTGTTGTCAAAAAATAATACCCTTACCATTTCAAATTACAGTACATTTTTAAAAAAAAATTTCATCTCAAAATATAAAATATTTTAAATAAATTAAATTTTTATTAAATACATCAATTTTAATATTACCTTTTATCTCTCTATTAATAATTTCTGACCATTCTCTTTTTAGTATATTAAATAATAGGTATTCTAAAAATTTATATTTTTATTTTAAAAAGATAAATTGTTAAGTATATTTAATGATATTTATTGATATGTGATATTTTATTTAAAAATATTTTATACTTTGACACGGAGAGAGTATCAAATTATGTTTTATTTTCAAAAGACATTAATTTTGATCGACCTAAGATATTTTGTCCTTAATTGTACATTGAGCTTATGATAAAATGACTTGTCCGGAGACTTGAACCCATTCTCACTGCCTCGTAAGAAATCACTGCCTTAACTCATTTGTTAATAAATTTATATAGTGATTATTGTGGTGGGAACTCTCATAACATCACAATCAATGTAAGATAAGTAAAGGAGCAGCCAGTTATCCCAAAAAACAAAAAGGAAAATCAGCCAGCTCTTAGCTGTGATGTGCTGTGTTTTGAGGCATAGAATAGCAAATAGCAAAGAGAAGACGTTGTTGAAAAGAAGTTAAAATCTTAATTAATTGTCACCAGTAATGTTAGTTTATATGTCATTTGATTGCACAAGCTGTTTTCTTGTTTCATGGGATCACAATGTGACTCAATCATGGGAAATTCAGGTGAAAAATGTGGATGCTAGCTTGACATTGTTGATTAATCACACTATTCTTAGGATTGGATAAGTTGTGCTAACATATTATTAACTATCACAACAAATTTGTGCTAGCAGTATGACCAGTTGTTGAGATATCGAGCTATAGATTTTAGTTCATGTGAATTAAAAAAAAAGGTCATTAGGAGAACTAATAAGATATGATATAATGACTAAATAGAATAATTAAAGTTAAATTGAGAAACATTTGGTTCAATTAGTCGATAAAATTGAATTAATTTAATTATTTTAAAATCTTAAATTTGAGTTTGAGTTTTAAAACATACAATCATATTAAATAACTATTTCCAGATTTTTGAAAATACTGGAAGTACAATGAAATAAAAAATAATTAAAATTAATTTAAGATATTAATATTAGTTATTAGAAATATATATTTTTTGACACATCATTAGAAATATTTGAAACAGAATATTTATCCCAGATGCCATCGCATGGAGTCGTCAAAAGCCGAGGATGTCGCCCACGTGGTGCCTGATGAATCAAGATGAGTATATATCCGCTGCTCCGACTTCCTTTTCCTCAACTCCTCATGATACGTTGCGCTGGGAAATTTCATTGCTCAAAGTTAGGTGCCAAATGGCAAAAAGGGCAGCCCGTTAATAAAATCCTAAAATAAAAAATTCATGACATTTAAGTCTGCTCTTTCTAAGTCAAAATATAAATATTTTTAATTAATATTAATTTAAAATATAAACAATTTAATATATGTAAAAAAAATTCTTATATTTATTAAGTTAAATCCTTATATGAAGCTATTTCTTACTTATCGTAAAATGCATTGATGATTGAGAGTACAAATAAGAAAAGAAAACAATATATATATATATATGCTCCCTCTGTTTAAAAATATAAGACATGTTTAACTGAATCTCACCCCTAATAAAGCAGTTATCTACCTTTAAAATAACCATATATTTACATATTTACTCCTATTAAACATTTTACAATAAATATAAAGTCAACATTAATAGAGGCATTTTTAAAAAAAACAATGATTATACTTCAAAAGAGTAAAAATGTCTTACTTTTGTGAACATTCAACTCTTCAAAAAAATATTTTATATTTTTGAACGGAAGGAGTATATATATTATAGGATTGGCAACTTCCTTGGTATGCATAATTTTTAAAAAAATTACTTATATTTTGGATTGGAAAGAGTGAGTTACGAATATCAATTCAAACAATCATAAATAGGTTCTCAATTGTAAATTAATAATTATTTTTTAAATATTTTATTTATAATTAAAACTTTTAAATTTATGATTGAATCAATATTTATAACTAATTTGTTTAAAAAAATTATTAAGCATCTAATTGACAGCGGTCATAAATTTATTATTTTTATACTTTAATATCATTTTATCCATTGGAAATTGTTTTGGGACGTTGTATGAAAAGAAATTTTTTTTCCCATTTCGAAAAAGGGGCCTAAACGGTGAAAGAGGTAAGAAGCCCAAATTAAAATCATAAAATGATGTAATCAATGAAAAAAAAAACATTATCACCGGGTTATGATTTATTAGTTTTATACAATTTTTATAATCAATGTTTAAGAAAATATATTATTAAAAATGCATATACTTGAGATTTAAAAAATAAATAGCAACAAATGAATTTTAGGTGGGGAATGAAATTTTCTTAGAAGGCAGAGTGGGAGTTTTTTTTTTTAAAGTATAAAACTCAAGTTTTTTTTTCGGCAGTAGTCTCATGTTCGAAAAAATTTTAAAATATAAATATTATTGGGTGAATCTATGAAGTACAAGGAGCTCTAGCAAATTTAGCCAACATTATATGACCAAATAAAACTAGTAACCCACCCTTCTCTAAATTAAAATAATGGCCATTTTTTTAATTTACCTTTGATATAAAAAACAAAATTACCCTTAAACATCACAATATCTTGATTGTCCTTTTTCACATTGGTTTCGCTTTCACACATCTGAAGATATGGAGATGACATTACACTCTCAATCACGATGGTGAAGAAATTGACAGTAAATGATGGAACAACTCACATTGATGGATAAACACAGTTAGAGATTTTATCTAGGAGACCACGTGAATGCAAGGCGAGATAACTGAAAGCTATAGATTTAAGTTGGAAAATCATGAATGCGAGGTAAGGAAGTCTGAAACTACAACTTCTACACAAAGCCATACTAAAGCTGCAAATTCAGGGTGAGGAAGTGCAGTCAGACTTTATTATAAAAGCCAGAGTTCAAGTGAGGGTTTTTTGAGATTTTGTTTAATTTTCTTTGGGCAAATGATTATGTATTTTTTATGTTACTGATCTATGATACTATATTATTAATATACTACTATATATCAATTATAAATAAGTTTATATTTGATTGTCTGGTTATGTTAATTTATGATAGTATATCAATGATATATTATTATATATCACTAATAAATAAGCCATATTAGCAAAAATTTACTAATTTATTTATCATTGATATACAGCCATATATCAATGATATAGTATTACAGGTCAGTAATGGAGTTTTTTTTTCAATGTCTAATGTGCTCTTTATAATATCT